TGAATGCATTCTGTGGAGTGGTAGTTCAATGGGGTGGTAGTTCAATGCGGTGGTAGTTCAATGGGGTGGTAGTTCAATGGAGTGGTAGTTCAATGGAGTGTTGGTTCAATGGGGTGTTAGTTCAATGGAGTGTTAGTTCAATGGGGTGGTAGTTCAATGAGGTGGTAGTTCAATGGAGTGGTAGTTCAATGGGGTGGGTAGTTCAATGGAGTGGTAGTTCAATGGAGTGGTAGTTCAATGGGGTGGTAGTTCAATGGGGTGGTAGTTCAATGGAGTGGTAGTTCAATGGAGTGGTAGTTCAATGGAGTGGTAGTTCAATGGGGTGGTAGTTCAATGGGGTGGTAGTTCAATGGAGTGGTAGTTCAATGGAGTGGTAGTTCAATGGAGTGGTAGTTCAATGGGGTGGTAGTTCAATGGGGTGGTAGTTCAATGGAGTGGTAGTTCAATGGAGTGGTAGTTCAATGGAGTGGTAGTTCAATGGGGTGGTAGTTCAATGGGGTGGTAGTTCAATGGAGTGGTAGTTCAATGGGGTGGTAGTTCAATGGAGTGGTAGTTCAATGGGGTGGTAGTTCAATGGGGTGGTAGTTCAATGGAGTGGTAGTTCAATGGGGTGGTAGTTCAATGGAGTGGTAGTTCAATGGGGTGGGTAGTTCAATAGGGTGGTAGTTCAATGGAGTGGTAGTTCAATGGAGTGGTAGTTCAATGGAGTGGTAGTTCAATGGGGTGGTAGTTCAATGGGGTGGTAGTTCAATGGAGTGGTAGTTCAATGGGGTGGTAGTTCAATGGAGTGGTAGTTCAATGGGGTGGGTAGTTCAATAGAGTGGTAGTTCAATGGAGTGGTAGTTCAATGGAGTGGTAGTTCAATGGGGTGGTAGTTCAATGGGGTGGTAGTTCAATGGGGTGGTAGTTCAATGGAGTGGTAGTTCAATGGGGTGGTAGTTCAATGGAGTGGTAGTTCAATGGGGTGGGTAGTTCAATAGAGTGGTAGTTCAATGGAGTGGTAGTTCAATGGAGTGGTAGTTCAATGGGGTGGTAGTTCAATGGGGTGGTAGTTCAATGGGGTGGTAGTTCAATGGGGTGGTAGTTCAATGGAGTGGTAGTTCAATGGGGTGGTAGTTCAATGGAGTGGTAGTTCAATGGGGTGGGTAGTTCAATAGAGTGGTAGTTCAATGGAGTGGTAGTTCAATGGAGTGGTAGTTCAATGGAGTGGTAGTTCAATGGGGTGGTAGTTCAATGGGGTGGTAGTTCAATGGGGTGGTAGTTCAATGGAGTGGTAGTTCAATGGGGTGGTAGTTCAATGGAGTGGTAGTTCAATGGGGTGGGTAGTTCAATAGGGTGGTAGTTCAATGGAGTGGTAGTTCAATGGAGTGGTAGTTCAATGGGGTGGTAGTTCAATGGGGTGGTAGTTCAATGGGGTGGTAGTTCAATGGAGTGGTAGTTCAATGGGGTGGTAGTTCAATGGAGTGGTAGTTCAATGGGGTGGGTAGTTCAATAGGGTGGTAGTTCAATGGAATGGTAGTTCAATGGGGTGGTAGTTTAATGGAATGGTAGTTCAATGGAGTGGTAGTTCAATGGGGTGGGTAGTTCAATAGAGTGGAAGTTCAATGGAGTGGTAGTTCAATGGAGTGGTGATTCAATGGGGTCTTGTAACTCTATGAGCAAGGTGGTATTGCGCTCCTTCTGATGGTAGGAATACCATTGAACTTAGTCATCTGATAGAGTGCTTGGGTGAAGTAACCACAAATGGTACTGAATGTGAAATCATGAACGACCTGAAATATACTGTCTTTAACATTAAACATGTTTCCTGACAACGTCTGTTCAAGACCCATCTAATTTTGTATTCGCCTGATCTTTTTTAATTCCAATGCCATACTCATACATAACAATCATATTGGGTTACAGGAGATTAAGATGAAATAATAAACGCGATTGCTCTGACAGATGATTGGTCTTTAATCCAAACTATAAGTGGACCTGACTTCAGTCGCTAATTAATTATAACCATCCTTTAAGTCCGTACGATGGAGGGATATAACGGCTGTGTATGTTACCCTACACCTGATAGACTCTTGTCTGGATGCGTTATGTAATTTTATAATAATGTAAGAGATTTACAAATTATCAAATTACATGTCAATAGAATACTTGTAAGCGACAAGCTAAAATGAAGGCCCTATCATACGTATCTCTGTTTTACACGTATTTGATACAGAATGTTCCATCCCACATGCACACACGTATTATAAACCAATGTTATGAACCTATGTAGACACGCGTTATATGTCAATGTTATGCCCGTATAATCCATTCATTGCACACAGGAGAGGTATATACGTGGTTTGAGACATACACGTTGTAGTTAACGCATCGACAAAGTCATATGGAATCCTGCTAGTCATGACTACCGCTTCGTCGTTCTCTCCACCTCAACGTGACGAATAAAATGCGATGACGAAGCGATGATTGCGTTGCGTCGCTCCATCACCATCGTGATTCCGCTCATTTGCTCTATATGAAAAAGATCGGGCTTTGCTTATAGAACAGACTCGGTGGTCATTGCAAAATACTGAGGTTTATTAAGGATGCAAACTAAAAATAAAGATTGCGTTAAACGTCAATGAACGAGGGTCATTCAATAAATTCTGTCACCACACAACTCCCATACGAACAAGAAATAAGATAGTTTAACACCTTGACAGACTGCAAAAGCATCTAAAGAACGATGCACGTGCCAACTTTCTACATCATCCGACAATAATTGAACAGACTATTTCTTGTTGAATGATATGGTATGACTTGTAGGTACTTTCATTGCTTAAATAAAGGTTAAATGCTCCCTGGTAAACAGTATGCATAAAGGAGTGTGTTTGGGCAGTGCGATCTTCCAGTGTTTTGCCAGTATACCAAGAGGGAATTACCGTGTAGCGTTTGAATAATGGAAAGCACGATTGCGAAAATACATTTCTGCTAAGGGGGACACTTCGAAGGAATGTAATAGACAGACACAACTTTATACAACATATCTCTAATGTAATAGACAGATACAACTTTATACAACATATCTCTAATGTTACAGACAGACACAACTTTATACAACATATCTCTAATGTTACAGACAGACACAACTTTATACATCATATCTCTAATGTAATAGACAGATATAACTTTATACAACATATCTCTAATGTAATAGACAGAAACAACTTTATACAACATATCTCTAATGTAATAGACAGATATAACTTTATACAACATATCTCTAATGTAATAGACAGATACAACTTTATACAACATATTCCTAAGTCCTGACACTTAGACAGATACAACTTTATACAACATATTCCTAAGTCCTGACACTTAGACAGATACAACTTTATACAACATATCCCTAAGTCCTGACACTTAGACAGATACAACTTTATACAACATATTCCTAATTCCTGACACTTAGACAGATACAACTTTATACAACATATCCCTAAGTCCTGACACTTAGACAGATACAACTTTATACAACATATCCCTTAGTCCTGACACTTAGACAGATACAACTTTATACAACATATTCCTAATTCCTGACACTTAGACAGATACAACTTTATACAACATATCCCTAAGTCCTGACACTTAGACAGATACAACTTTATACAACATATTCCTAATTCCTGACACTTAGACAGATACAACTTTATACAACATATCCCTAAGTCCTGACACTTAGACAGATACAACTTTATACAACATATCCCTAATTCCTGACACTTAGACAGATACAACTTTATACAACATATCCCTAATTCCTGACACTTAGACAGATACAACTTTATACAACATATCCCTAAGTCCTGACACTTAGACAGATACAACTTTATACAACATATTCCTAATTCCTGACACTTAGACAGATACAACTTTATACAACATATCCCTAATTCCTGACACTTAGACAGATACAACTTTATACAACATATCCCTAATTCCTGACACTTAGACAGATACAACTTTATACAACATATCCCTAATTCCTGACACTTAGACAGATACAACTTTATACAACATATCCCTAATTCCTGACACTTAGACAGATACAACTTTATACAACATATCCCTAATTCCTGACACTTAGACAGATACAACTTTATACAACATATCCCTAATTCCTGACACTTAGACAGATACAACTTTATACAACATATCCCTAATTCCTGACACTTAGACAGATACAACTTTATACAACATATCCCTAATTCCTGACACTTAGACAGATACAACTTTATACAACATATCCCTAATTCCTGACACTTAGACAGATACAACTTTATACAACATATCCCTAATTCCTGACACTTAGACAGATACAACTTTATACAACATATCCCTAATTCCTGACACTGGTGACAACCTTTATTGATTGACCCTCGTTGATAGATTTGAGTAAAAGGTGGGGAGAGTGAGAAAGAATTTGTCACATACCTAGACAATAATTTCTGATTTACGTAATACCTAAACCTTTGGCTGTTAATACTGCCATCCATTTTATAGGATATATGAATATTAAGGTTAGTTGCGTTTTAGAGACACTGCATGTAGCTACCATGCTATTTAGCAGTTTCTTAGAAGTTCGTAGCAAGAAAAATAAAAAATAAACCTACCATATACTGTACCGTTTAACCTTTCTACTTGTCTATTTAATCGTGGGCGGTAAGGCGTTGTACGGGCTTTGTGGATCTGTAAAGCCTGGTACAACAATTCAGTGAGTTTGCTCTTAAAATTGCGTCTCTGGTCCAAGAAACCGTCACAAGGAATAGCATATACCTTCAGAAGGATCGATCGCATAATCCTAGATTGATTAGAACCAACGATACGTGAAATGATTCTTGTTACTTTAATTGATTCATTTTAACTTTGGATGTTAAATGAAACCTGTCACAATCACACATAGTATACATTACATTAGTTACTGAAACATTTCTGTAAGTCTTTCCTTATTCCCTTAGGAGCATTCATGATCCCCTACGTAGTGATGTTACTGTTTGGAGGACTACCCCTCTTCTACATGGAGCTGGCCCTGGGACAGTACCAGAGGTGTGGCTGTCTGACGGTGTGGGATAGGATATGTCCCGCCTTCAAAGGTAAGCTGAAGTATATGTAATACAGGTGTGGGTGTCTGACATTGTGTTGCAGGATTTGTCCCGCCTCCAAAGGTAGGCTGACGTTATACAGGTGTGGTACAGGATCTGTCCCGCCTCAAGAGTTAGGTTGACGTTATACAGGTGTGGAGCAGAATCTGTCCCGCCTACAGAGGTTGCTTACGTTATATAGTTGTGGGATAAGATCTGTCCCGCCTCCAGAGGTAGGCTGACGTTATACAGGTGTAGGACAGGATCTGTCCCGCCTCCAGAGTTAGGTTGACGTTATACAGGTGTGGAACAGAATCTATCCCGTCTCCAGAAGTAGGCTGACGTTATACAGTTGTGGGACAGGATCTGTCCCGCCTCCAGAGGTAGACTGACGTTATACAGGTGTGGGACAGGATCTGTCCCGCCTCCAGAGTTAGGTTGACGTTATACAGGTGTGGACCAGAATTTGTCCCGCCTACAGAGGTAGGTTGACGTTATACAGTTGTGGGACAGGATCTGTCCCGCCTCCAGAGTTAGGTTGACGTTATACAGGTGTGGACCAGAATTTGTCCCGCCTACAGAGGTAGGTTGACGTTATACAGTTGTGGGACAGGATCTGTCCCGCCTCCAGAGTTAGGTTGACGTTATACAGGTGTGGGATAGGATCTGTCCCGCCTCAAGAGTTAGGCTGTCTGACATTGTTGGACTGGATCTGTTCCGCCTCCAGAGTTAGGTTGACGTTATACAGGTGTGGAGCAGAATCTGTCCCGCCTACAGAGGTTGCTTACGTTATACAGTTGTGGGATAAGATCTGTCCCGCCTCCAGAGGTAGGCTGACGTTATACAGGTGTAGGACAGGATCTGTCCCGCCTCCAGAGTTAGGTTGACGTTATACAGGTGTGAACCAGAATCTGTCCCGCCTACAGAGGTAGGTTGACGTTATACAGTTGTGGGACAGGATTTGTCCCGCCTCAAAAGGTAGGCTGACGTTATACAGGGGTGGGACAGGATCTGGCCCGCCTCCAGAGTTAGGCTGTCGGACATTGTTGGACTGGATCTGTTCCTCCTCCATAGTTAGGTTGACGTTATACAGGTGTGGGACAGGATCTGTCCCGCCTCCAGAGTTAGGCTGTCTGACATTGTTGGACTGGATCTGTTCCGCCTCCAGAGTTAGGTTGACGTTATACAGGTTTGGAGCAGAACCTGTCCCGCCTCCAGAGGTAGGCTGATATGTATATAGGTGTGGGACAGGATCTGTCTCGCCTCCAGAGATAGACTGACGTTATACAGGTGTGGAACAGGATCTGTCCCGCCTCCAGAGTTAGGTTGACGTTATACAGGTGTGGGACAGGATCTGTATCGCCTCCAGAGGTAGACTGACGTTATACAGGTGTGGAGCACAATCTGTCCCGCCTTCAGAGTTAGGTTGACGTTATATAGGTGTGGAGCAGAATCTGTCCCGCCTCCAGAAGTATACTGACGTTATACAGGTGTGGGGCAGGATATGTTCCGCCTACAGAAGTAGGCTGACGTTATACAGGTGTGGGACAGGATCTGTCCCGCCTCAAAAGGTAGGCTGACGTTATACAGGTGTGGCTGTCTGACATTGTTTGACTGGATCTGTCCCGCCTCCAGAGTTAGGCTGTCTGACATTGTTGGACTGGATCTGTCCCGCCTCCAGAGTTAGGTTGACGTTATGCAGGCTTGGAGCAGAATCTGTTCCGCCTCCAGAGGTAGGCTGACATTATATAGGTGTGGGACAGGATCAGTCTCGCCTCCAGAGGTAGACTGACGTTATACAGGTGTGGGACAGGATCTGTCTCGCCTCCAGAGTTAGGTTGACGTTATACAGGTGTGGGCCAGGATCTGTCCCGCCTCCAGAGTTAGGTTGACGTTATACAGGTGTGGGGCAGGATCTGTCTCGCCTCCAGAGGTAGACTGACGTTATACAGGTGTGGAGCAGAATCTGTCCCGCCTCCAGAGTTAGGTTGACGTTATATAGGTGTGGACCAGAATCTGTCCCGCCTCCAGAAGTATACTGACGTTATACAGGTGTTGGGCAGGATCTGTTCCGCCTACAGAAGTAGGCTGACGTTATACAGGTGTGGGACATGATCTGTCCCGCCTCCAAAGGTTTAAGCTGACGTAATAATGGTATGGCTGTCGACACTGTCGGACAGAATCTGTCCCCTCCCCAGCTTCAAAAGTAGACTGACGCAATAGGCATAATCGTATGAAAATGTACAAACAACTGATTTCAGATAGAGGTTCGTGCAATTTTATCTATTATCAAGTTAAATGATTACTTGATGTTACACATATAGTTATACCGCAATATCGGTTCAAGTTATACACTCAATGATATGCTCCTGTATAACGCCCCGTTACCGTGTAGGATATGTACTCTACCAACTTCAGACCTATGACCTACACTAAGCGTTACTGAAGTTTAAGATGATGATTGGATATGATTTATCAACTAGGGTACACTTTGTTTCGTACCTTTTTATATAAATGCGAGAATATGTGGGTCACATCGTATGATTGTTTCCATTGCCCGTCCAACATGTTTCCTCTATTGGCCTTTGCCTTAACCCGTTTATTGAGTATCGTCAGTACAGCATTCTACTTTTTGTGGTAAGGAATGTGTTGTGAACAAATACTGAACGAGAACGTCACTTATCGGTATACTTGTATAAAGTGGTCATAGGGAATTACCACCTCCTTAAGATATGTCCTTACCAGTTGTACGCGTGCATTCACTTCATAAGTGAGTGGTTGACTTCGGTCGAACTCAACACGCCATTTTCGCTGTCGATGACAATAGTGTTGTTATTCTTCGGAAGTGGTAAAATTCCTTTGATTATAGTGTATTTTATGGATAGATACGGTTGCGTCTGTATAAAGAAATAATTCAAATCATGGAGTAAAAACTAACCCGAAACGGATCTGAGCCATGGTAATTTTAAATGTCAAGAGAAAGGATTCAGAACTGGTACTATCCGGAATACCAACGCATAACACAATGGGTTAACTTCCTCTTAAAATATCATCAAAACCGCTTTTGAGTACAACAATAAACACTAACTAGCAATCTCAGGAATGATAGATAAATGGAGGCTTAGGTTTTACCTAACAGTTTAAAATTGTCCAGCATTCTTAGCATATACAGTGGTAGCTGTATCAAAACGAGATCACCTAGGTGAAATATAAGACAACACTCATAGGGAAGACATTGGTAGCTGTAGCAAAGGCATTTTTTTAAGAATTAAACATTTATCTCCGACCTTCGAATTGGTAGACAGTGGAAACTTTGTCAAAACGAGATCACCTAGGTGAAATATAAGACAACAATCTTAGGGAAGACATCAGTAGCTGTAGCAAAAGCAATTTATTTAAGAATTAAACATTTATCTCCGACCTTCGAATTGGTAGACAGTGGAAACTTTGTCAAAACGAGTTCACCTAGGTGAAATATAAGACAACAATCCTAGGGAAGACATCGGTAGCTGTAGCAAAAGCAGTTTATTTAAGAATTAAACATTTATCTCCGAACTCCGAATTGGTAGACAGTGGAAACTGTCAAATCGAGTTTATTTCAAATTAAAACATTAGCCAGCATTCTTAGCGTAGGCAGTAGTTGCTTTTTCAAGCCAGTTTACCCAAAGGTAAACTATATGACAACAATCTTAGGGTAAACAATGGTATCTGTATCAAACCCAGTTTATTTAACAGTTTGGTGTATTTCAAGCATCTGAATTGTGATGCGTACAGAGACCTTCCCTTTGTGACGAACAAATCCTTTGGGTGCAGCTATGTATATCGCTAACGTAGTCCTGGTTTTCTGAGACGTGAAGTATGCTGTTCTTGGTTACAGGGATAGGCCTGGCAATTTGTGTGATAGCTACCTATGTCGCCTGGTATTACAATACAATCATCGCTTGGGCAGTCTTTTACTTCTTCTCGGCTTGGCGTGCAGAAGTACCATGGCGGACGTGCAACAACCCATGGAACAACAACGAAACCTGTACTATCTACGAACGACTACTCATGGGGAATACCACCAAGCTATACAGTAACGCCAGCAACATGGCGAACTTAACCACAACCACCATGGCCGCATCGACAGGTCCCGCGATCATACGAAAGTCACCAACAGAGGAATTCTTCGAGTAAGTATATATTCTTGTTTAGATTAAACATAACATCTCTGTTAACTCCCCCAAAGCAGGTGCTATTGATAGGCCATACGACTAGTGTTACGTTCGAGTACCGTATGGGCACTCCAGAGGAACCATTGGATGTCTTTTTGAACTGCCCTTTACTCTGTGTTACAAACATTACACGAGGATTACCCGACACTTGTTCAGGTTAACCTTTGGGAACTAGCCTCGAGACTTCACGACATATTATTGACGTGGCACAGACAAAACGCTTAGCCTAATCGTATGGATTACTGTGTGCTAGTAACTCGGCATTTTATGAAAAACGAAATTTGCCAAAAAGTGGGGAAAATACCATTAATGTCAATACCATTAATGCACCACAAGTCTGTCTAAGATAACATACTATTCAAGTTTTAAATATAAAGGGTTAGGTTCATATATATAATGTTTAAATTACATTGTATTTTAATCCCATTACTTCCAAGCTTTTTAATTGTAGGCAAATAATACCACAGCTGAATATAGATTTCTTTGTTTTAATCGCCATACAACTATTGCCCAGCTAATTACATAGTAACTGGCGACCAAAGTGTTATCTTCAATATTAAGCTATGGGAACTTCAAATCAAGGGGCCAAAGTATCTCTCAACACCTCTTTTCGACATTATTCTATCAATTTGTGTTTCTCTATATTACTTTCTTATCATTATTATTTTTCTTTTGATTTAAATAAAGCGGATATGTATCACAACACTTACAACAATCGTGGTAGTTTCCAGTCTCTGTTGTATATGTAAAGGTACAAGCGTCTTTTGTCTGAATCGTATTCTCAATATCTCAGTTGTATTACCTTGTTGTACATTGCTTTTTCCATTGTTCCTATCTCCCTTTTTGTGCTTAAATGTCAAGAAGTTTCAATCCCGTTTGAAGATCTTCGTATATGAATACAGCAAGCATTCCACCTACTGTAAACAAGAAACAATATACACATCATTTATATCGTTTGAACGTTTTGAAGGTGCTTGATCAAATTAACCGTAATACAATGTACAGACACATGGGCTAAAGCATACAACGAGCCAAGCGAACACATTGCCCATGCCTATTGTGTAACAGATATACATGTACGTAGCACTGTAATAGACTAAGGCTGCGATATATAAATGTCTTAATTAGCAATCAACAAATGTTTACTACACTGCATTAGCAGTTGTAGTTACACGTACCAATGCGCATGTATGTCACATACGGACATCATCATATGCTATTACACGTACCAATGCGCGTGTATGTCACATACGGACATCATGATATGCTATTACACGTACCAATGCGCCTGTATGTCACACACGGACATCATCATACATTTTATGCTATTACACGTACCAATGCGCGTGTATGTCACACAAGAACATCATCATACGCTATTACACGTACTAATGCGCGTTTATGTCACACACGAACATCATCATACGCTATTACACGTACCAATGCGCGTGAATGTCACATACGGACATCATCAGATGTAATTTACGTACCAATGTGCGTATATTTCTCAAAGGAACATAATCAGGTGCTGTTTCCCGTACCAATGTGCGTATATGTCTCAAAGGAACATCATCAGGTGCTGTTTCCCGTACCAATGTGCGTGCATGGCTAAACGGGACATCCTCAGGTGCTGTTTCACGTACTAAAGCGCGTGTATGTCTCAAAGTAACATCATCAGGTGCTGTTTCACGTACCAATGCGCGTGTATGTCGCATACGGACATCATCAAGTGCTGTTACACGTACCAATGCTAAACCAACACGTTGGCGTATATGTCTTACGACACATAATTCAGATGATAATATGTGTGTGGTGTTAATTGCCAACTCCAATCGGAGAAATGGATTGGGCGGATAGGTCGAGTGGTTAACACTCCGGCCTTCCAAGCAGGCGACCGGGGTTCGATCCCCGATTTCGCCGTACGCATGGAATATTAGAGAAAGTGTTTTTCTCCTGCCCACACAACTCCAACAACCCAGGTGGAGTATAAAATGGTCAGGGGTGTGGGTTGCGGTATCTGTGCTGTAGCATTCAAATGAGGTGGCACTATAAATGATATCGTTGGAAGCACGGTCCCACTACAAACAGAACACAATACATCTCCAGCACACACACAGGCATACACACATAGGGAGATATTAGCCAGGTGGCATAGGACTAGTAGTTAGCGCCTAATAAGGCAGCTCCTGCGAATTCCTCAATATTGTATTGATTAATATATAAAATTGGTTATCTATGTACTGTAAAGCGCTTTAGAGTGGCTTATGTTAGCTAGATAGGGCGCTATATCAAATGTTGTATTTTATTATTATTATTTTTATTAAATGCCGTGATGTGACTAGTCTATAAATAAAAAAGTGACACAGACCTGAATATATTAATATATAATATCATATTTCAGGTTTGGTAAGGGAAACATTCATGTAACGAATCTAAAGCTCTTACAAACTCTATTTAAGAAAGGAAATAAGTGATGCAGATAATAATTCCCAATCGTTACTCAAGACGAAATCAGTGAAACAATCAAATGTTGTCTGGTTGTATATGCATAAAATAAAACTTTATTTTTGTGTAATACAAATAATGTACCAATAATCTATAACGGTCTATCACAACGAACAGTTATTGATCTTAACTTCTAGTTACACAAGCCCCAGTTTATCTAGTTTATCTTGTACTTATCACATTATGGATTTCTCTTTCGGTTTATCCATAAATTAATGACTTGATCATGCATTTATGAAACCGCTCATCCCCTGTTTTTCATTTCCTTGATCATTGAAAGTTTTTTTTGCAAAACCAAAGTTCCGAATACTTTTTTAAATGTTTACGCTCGACTTGATGACCGTGTTACATGAATAAAGTGACCTAAAAAACAGTTGGCTTGATCACAAAATCCATGCTTGAGCATGAGAACGGTTTCATGAGTATGGGCCCTGGTCACAGCGACATTCGGCTATATGTCTCGATGAGTATTGCTCAGACTGTGTTCGTAAATTATGATTATTTCTCATTTGCAGTCTGCAAAATGTGAAGCAGTATACAAATAAACAAATTTGATTTAATATATACCGTGTAAAATCAAAAGCACTTCTACTCATTAGGACATTCTGTTATTTTTCTGTAATATATCTTCGTTTTATCTTTTATCAACGTGGACATTGTTTCGGTTTTCGGAATGTCCAGTTTTTATTGTTCGAATTATTATCACAAATAACTATTCTTCGTTCAATATTAAATCGAATCAAAACCGGATGAAAAAACCCCAGATAATTTAAATTTAAATAATGACATATTTTTGCTTCATCGTGTACAATAATTCGAAATGAACATTTACTTTAAAGTTGTTTTTTAGAATTGTAATTCTAATTACATTTCTGCGTAAAAATGACAGTTTTTATTATCGAGTCTGAATTCCCCGTTACATGCAGAACATTCACACTCCCCAAAGTTCGTTCTGACAAGGATTCGTCGAGGGGACAAGGTTCGTTCTGACAAGGATTCGTCGAGGGGACAAGGTTGCTCGTATGCACACTGCCGGGACTCTAACCAGGGGATGCAATATATATGGAAATCACATGTAAATGGGCAAGGAATGTCTCGGTACGTTATGGGGACTCCAGGACAAGTTAAGCCTCGTGCCTTTTCTCAATCAACCCGCTAGTGTTTGAGTACTCTCCCGATTTGTTTTTTAAACATGACATTTTACATCGAAATAAGCTCCTTTAAATTAGCTTTTCGTGTATTTGTGTATAGAATCCAGTGATTTCCATTACTATCGTAACAAGGTATTACTATACAATACTATCTAATCTCAGATCACCATTAATCAAGTCATACTTACTTACTATGCATTCGTCAGAAATATACATTTAATCAATAAACATATGTTTATATATTAGAATAATTGTTCTTTGATCATAATGTTAGTATTGATGAATTGTAGCTCGACATTTGTATAAAATCTATTTATTGTAGAGTTCTGAATAAAGATTGATACATAAATTTTGATTTCGATTTCACGTTTATCTAATAGTAAAAGACAAAAGAGCTACTTTGTAGTTAGAGCACTACTGATTTCCGCACACCACATATAAGAATTTGTCTGATAGATTGACGGGTTAGTTATAATAAATATATTCATGTTGTACCGTTAAGTCCACTGTAAGCCATCAGCGGTTAAATTTCAACTATATAGGGGTATTAGGATAGGCTTCCCTACTGTCAGCTTGAAGTATCAGCTATCTACTATAACTATTACATTTATCTGGATGAATCGATTTGTACATCTTTCCTTGTTATTTTAACAACTTATCTTTACTTATTATACTGTTGCAGAATGGTTTCCATCGTTACATTACTCGCCATGAATAGACATATGATCAACGTGTCTTTGATAATAGGTGACATGCTCTCCTTTTACAGGAAAAACAGACAAATACAATACAGGATGCCGACGTTGTATAAATTACAAGTATCTTTTTTAATTGCTTTATCAAATGTGAAAGATACGAGACTATGAAAAACTAATTGGCTTAAAATTGTTGTTGCTTGATTAGCATGATTAGAAATGTCGTACAAAATATTTGTATTCTACTAGGACATCTCATACAGCACGTCATGTGCAATGTTTTGTAAAAAGAAAAGAAAAATACCTTAGAAGTTGAGACTATGGGTAATATGTTCGGCTTGTAGTTTCGTCGATAGCTAATGGGCTGATAACTAGTGTGCAAATACAAGGAAACAAGAGAATACCGAAATGTAAACAAACTCGTAATTCATACTGAAAAACAAATGATGGACTAATAATACATGTATATGGATACTCTAGATAAAATACAAGGAGCCCAAGACCTAATATAACGAAAGATCAATCATTATAACCAAAATCACTTAGAACACAAAGACGTCGATATTCATTTCAAACAAATATGTTTTTTTTCAATGAGATCATGATTGCGATAACAAAGCCTGCCGATAATCTTCAAATAAACTTAATGTGAATGCCAATCGCCTGATGAAAAATCCTGCGATCGAACTTTATTACGACAGACGACTGTTAATTCAAAGCAAGGACTAATGAATGTTTGTTTAGGTAATTCAAAACAAAAAAATATATTAAACACCTTTTATCAAAGTGTTAACACATAAGCACAAACATATAAACAACACGTAGATGTCCACACATGCAGTTTTATTTATGTTGAATTTGCAGTCGAATATATTACTGTTAATTGTAAGTTAATAGGTATTTTAACCTACTTCCAATTTATGTTTAGGTACGAGGTGCTTGGATTGCAGCATGCCAGCGGTCTGGAGGATGTTGGCGGCGTCAATTGGATCCTGTGTCTTTGTCTCCTAGGCGTTTTTGTCCTGGTATATTTCGCTATGTGGAAAGGCGTTAAAAGCTCTGGCAAGGTAAAGTCTTTTCTTCGCCAGTTGTTACTACCAATAGGAGATCAGACAGTGGGACCAAATGATTAATGCAGAGGTAAAAACGAATGGAACAAACCAGTGCGAAAACGCAGTTAAAGAATAAGGAAATAACAAATTCAGCGGAACATAGAGTATACATATAATAGAAATAGTAGGTGAAGCCAGATTTAATAACTTTAAAATACAGGTAATACAAATAAAAAGGGAGCACGAATAAATACATCAAGGGGTAAATAAATGGGGGGTTTCAAGATAAATATAGAAAGAAAAAAGAAAGAAAGAAAAACGACAAAAAACGGCTCATAACTGAAAAAGATACACGATGGAAAAAATAAGGGAATACAGAGAGAATGAAAACAGGATACGTGCAGTAAAAAAAGAAGGGGGAAACTGAGCGTAAAGCATTAAGATCACATCGATTATATATGTTCCCAAATTAGTATATATAACATCAAAATGTAATTTTACATAAGATAAATAACATAAATGTTAACAGGGCATTAGATATATCCTGATACTAGAGCTGGCTTTGTATAAAAGTGTCCTATGTTAGCGGGGCATTAGAGATATCCTGATACTTGAGCTGGCTTTGTATAAAGGGGTCCTATGTTAACAGGTTGTTAGAGATATCCTGATACTAGAGCTGGCTTTATATAAAGTGTCCTATGTAAGCAGGGCATTAGAGATATCCTGATACTACAGCTGGCTTTGTATAAAAGTGTCCTATATTAACGGGACATTAGAGATATCCTGATACTAGAGCTGGCTTTATATAAAGTGTCCTATGTAAGCAGGGCATTAGAGATATCCTGATACTACAGCTGGCTTTGTATAAAAGTGTCCTATATTAACGGGACATTAGAGATATCCTGATACTAGAGCTGACTTTGTATAAAAGTGTCCTATGTTAACGGGGCATTAGAGATATCCTGATACTTGAGCTGGCTTTGTATAAAGGTGTCCTATGTTAACAGGTTGTTAGAGATATCCTGATACAAGAGCTCGCTTTGTATAAAAGTGTCCTATGTTAGCAGGGCATTAGGGATATCCTGATACTAGAGCTCGCTTTGTATAAAAGTGCCCTATGTTAACAGGGCATTAGAGATATCCTGATGCTAGAGCTCTCTTTGTATAAAAGTGTCCTATGTTAACGGGGCATTAGAGATATCCTGATACTAGAGCTGGCTTTGTATAAAGTGTCCTATGTAAGCAGGGCATTAGAGATATCCTGATACTAGAGCTCGCTTTGTATAAAAGTGTCCTATGTTAGCAGGGCATTAGAGATATCCTGAAACTAGAGCTGGCTTTGTATAAAAGTGTCCTAAGTTAGCAGGGCATTAGAGATATCCTGATGCTAGAGCTGACTTTGTATAAAAGTGTCCTATGTTAACGGGGCATAAGAGATATCCTGATACTAGAGCTGGCTTTGTATATAGTGTCCTATGTTAGCAGGGCATTAGATATATCCTGATACTAGAGTTGACTTTGTATAAAAATGTCCTATGTTAACAGGGCATTAGAGATATCCTGATGCTAGAGTTGACTTTGTATAAAAGTGTCCTCTGTTAACAAGGCATGAGAGATATCCTGATACTAGAGCTGGCTTTGTATAAAGTGTCCTATGCTAGCAGGGCATTAGAGATATCCTGATGCTAGAGCTGGCTTTGTATAAAAATGTCCTATGTAAACAGGGCATTAGAGATATCCTGATGCTATAGTTGACTTTGTATAAAAGTGTCCTCTGTTAACAAGGCATGAGAGATATCCTGATACAAGAGCTGGCTTTGTATAAAAGTGCCCTATGTCAACGGGGCATTAGAGATATCCTGATACTAGAGCTGGCTTTGTATAAAGGTGTCCTATGTTAACAGGGCATTAGAGATATCCTGATACAAGAGCTGGCTTTGTATAAAAGTGCCCTATGTTAACGGGGCATTAGAGATATCCTGATACTAAAGCTGACTTTGTATAAAAGTGCCCTATGTCAACGGGGCATTAGAGATATCCGGATACTAGAGCTGGCTTTGTATAGAAGTGTCATATCCTGATACAAGAGCTGGCTTTGTATAAAAGTGCCCTATGTCAACGGGGCATTAGAGATATCCGGATACTAGAGCTGGCTTTGTATAAACGGGTCCTATGTTAACAGGGCATTAGAGATATCCTGATAGTAGAGCTGGCTTTGTATAAACATGTCCTATATAAACGGGCATTAGAGATATCCTGATACTAGAGCTGGCTTTGTATAAAAGTGTCCTATGTTGGCTTTGTATATAGTGTCCTATGTTAACGGGGCATTATAGATATCCTGATACGAGAGCTGGCTTTGTATAAAGGTGTCCTATGTTAACAGGGAATTAGAGATATCCTGATACTACAGCTGGATTTGTATATAGTGTCCTATGTTAACGGGGCATTAGAGATATCCTGATACGAGAGCTGGCTTTGTATAAAGGTGTCCTATGTTAACAGGGCATTAGAGATATCCTGATAGTAGAGCTGGCTTTGTATAAACATGTCCTATATAAACGGGCATTAGACATATCCTGATACTAGAGCTGGCTTTGTATTAAGGTGTCCTATGTTAACAGGGCATTAGAGATATCCTGATACTACAGCTGGCTTTGCATAAAAGTGTCCTATATTAACGGGGCATTAGAGATATCCTGATACGAGAGCTGGCTTTGTATAAAGGTGTCCTATGTTAACAGGGCATTAGAGATATACTGATAGTAGAGCTGGCTTTGTATAAACGTGTCATATATTAACGGGGCATTAGAGATATTCTGATACTAGAGCTGACTTTATACAAAAGTGTCCTATGTTAACAGGTTGTTAGATATATCCTGATACTACAGCTGGCTTTGTATAAAGGTGTCCTATGTTAACAGGGCATTACAGATATCCTGATACTACAGCTGGCTTTGCATAAAAGTGTCCTATATTAACGGGGCATAGAGATATCCTGATACGAGAGCTGGCTTTGTATAAAGGTGTCCTATGTTAACAGGGCATTAGAGATATCCTGATAGTAGAGCTGGCTTTGTATAAACGTGTCCTATATTAACGGGGCATTAGAGATATTCTGATACTAGAGCTGACTTTATATAAAAGTGTCCTATGTTAACAGCTTGTTAGAGATATCCTGATACTACAGCTGGCTTTGTATAAAGGTGTAGGGCATTAGAGATATCCTGATGCTAGAGCTGGCTTTGTATAAAGGTGTCCATTGTAAACGGGGCATTAGAGATATCCTGATGCTAGAGCTGGCTTTGTATAAAGGTGTCCATTGTAAACGGGGCATTAGAGATATCCTGATGCTAGAGTTGACTTTGTATAAAAGTGTCCTATGTTAGCGGGGCATTAGAAATATCCTGATACTAGAGCTGGCTTTGAATAAAAGTGTCCTATGTTAACGGGGCATTAAAGATATCCTGATACTAGAGCTGGCTTTGTATAGAGTGTCCTATGTTAACTGGGCATGAGAGATATTCTGATACTAGAGCTGGCTTTGTATAAAGGTGTCCTATATTAACAGGGCATTAGAGATATCCTGATACTAGAGCTGGCTTTGTATAAAGGTGTCCCATGTTAACAGGGCTTTAGAGATATCCTGATACAAGGGCTGGCTTTGTATAAAAGTGTCCTATGTTAACGGGGCATTAGAGATATCCTGATACTAGAGCTGGCTTTGTATAAAGGTGTCCATTGTAAACGGGGCATTAGAGATATCCTGATACTAGAGCTGACTTTGTATAAAAGTGTCCTATGTTAACAGGGCATAAGAGATATCCTGATACTAGAGCTGACTTTGTATAAAAGTGTCCTATGTTAGCGGGGCATTAGAAATATCCTGATACTAGAGCTGGCTTTGTATAAAGGTGTCCTATGTTAACGGGGCATAAGAGATATTCTGATACTAGAGCTTGCTTTGTATAAAAGTGTCCTATGTTAGCAGGGCATTAGAGATATCCAGATACAAGAGCTGACTTTGTATAAAAGTGTCCTATGTTAGCAGGGCATTAGAGATATCCAGATACTAGAGCTGACTTTGTATAAACGTGTCCGATGTTAACGGGGCATTAGAGATATCCTGAGACTAGAGTTGACTTTGTATAAAAGTGTCCTAAGTTAGCAGGGCATTAGAGATATCCTGATACTAGAGCTGACTTTGTATAAAAGTGTCCGATGTTAACGGGGCATTAGAGATATCCTGATACTAGAGTTGACTTTGTATAAAAGTGTCCTATGTTAACGGGGCATTAGAGATATCCTGATACTTGAGCTGGCTTTGTATAAAAGTGACCTATGTTAACGGGGCATTAGAGATATCCTTATACTAGAGCTGGCTTTGTATAAAAGTGTCCTATGTTAACGGGGCATTAGAGATATCCTGATACTAGAGTTGACTTTGTATATAGTGTCCTATGTTAACGGGGCATTAGAGATATCCTGATACTAGAGCTGGCTTTGTATAAAAGTGTCCTATGTTAACGAGGCATTAGAGATATCCTGATACTAGAGCTGGCTTTGTATAAAGTGTCCTTTGTTAGCAGGGCATTTTAAAACCCTGATACTAGAGCTGGCTTTGTATAAAGTGTCCTATGTTAACTGGGCATGAGAGATATTCTGATACTAGAGCTGGCTTTGTATAAAGGTGTCCTATGTTAGCAGGGCATTAGAGATATTCTGATACTACAGCTGGCTATGTACAAAAGTGTCCTATGTTAACGGGGCATTAGAGATATCCTGATACTAGAGCTGGCTTTGTATAAAGGTGTCCTATGTTAGCAGGGCATTAGAGATATTCTGATACTAGAGCTGGCTTTGTATTAAAGTGTCCTATGTTAACGGGGCATTAGAGATATCCTGATACAAGGGCTGGCTTTGTATAAAAGTGTCCTATGTTAACAGGTTGTTAGAGATATCCTGATACTAGAGCTGGCTTTGTTTATAGTGTCCTATGTTAGCAGGGCATTAGAAAATCCTGATACTAGAGCTGGCTTTGTTTATAGTGTCCTATGTTAGCAGGGCATTAGATATTACCTGATACTACATCTGGCTTTGTATAAAAGTGTCCTATGTTAACGGGGCATTAGAGATATCCTTATACTAGAGCTGGCTTTGTATAAAAGTGTCCTATTCTACAGGTGTTGGTTTTAAGAGACAGTGATATTTTAAAAAAATATATAAAATTATTACCGGATAATTGATTATTTCAATATCCATCAGCTTGTTATAAATCATATATATTTAATGTTAATTTATTAATTACATCACACTGAACATGTAGGTGTACGATTATTGTCAAAAGGAAAGATTTGATTGAATTTTGCCTGGCGGACAGACATTTGAATTGAATCGTATGTAGTATAGTAAGACAATGTATGACTATTTATTATGGTTCAGGGTGCTGCAGACGATATTGTTGAATGTGTTGTAATGCGGTCTTATCTTGTATTGTAGGCTGTGTGGGTCACTGCTACCATGCCATACGTTGTGCTACTGATCCTGCTGGTCCGAGGCTGTATGTTGGAGGGGGCCGACAGAGGAATATTCTACTATATTCGCCCAGTGTGGAGCAAACTCGGCGACAAAAGCGTAAGTCACTACAGACCTCCACATACAAACCAATCAGCGAACAATAGTATAAGTTCATGAACTATATCTAGTTCACTAAGCGAGACAAAATACAAATGTTCACATTTATCTGTCTGAAGTAAACTCAACAACAAACGTAAGACAACCCTAACCCATAATGAGAGAAACATCGACCTTTATATCAGACAGAAACAACCTATTTCCGTGCAACCATAGTTAATACTTGTCCATAGGAGTTATCAACCTGCACACATGGAAACCCTGTGTTGTAAGTTTGTCCATAAACTGTCGACATCTATCGCCGAATCGGTCACCAAATCTAAAGAAAGGGAAAATTTACGATAGGAGAGTCGAAATTGTCTTGCTTAGCATACAACTTAGTAATAAACCGACCCTGACGGCCAGGTTGAAAGTAAATTTCGAGGAAAGAGGCCAACGTAGATGAGTCATTTATTTCAAGTTCTGGAGAGTATATACTTTCGTGATCAGTAATTTCTTTTGATTCAAAGACAGCCCAGAATCATGTTTTTCTATTTATCATATTTGTCAATCAAATTCAAGAACTTGGCCCGGCTTTTGTTGCAATTCCTGATAGGCTCATTAATTAATTCAGTTTTACATGAAAACATAGACAAATCGGCCAGTAGAAGGGGCGCAGTTGGTTCCGAAAAGGAATGCCTGCAGTCTCCTGGATAATATTAACATCGAACTCAGCAAAGATATTGTCGACCAGGAGCTCAGTTATTTCATTTTGGCCTTTTGCTGTTTTTTCTTTTGTCCTATGTTTTATAAAATTTACTCCAACATAGTTTACACCCATATATTTATATCGCCGTTCGCATTTATTGGCGCGGATTGGTCGAGTGGTAAACACTTCGGCCTTCCACGCAGGCGCCTGAGGTTCGATCCCCGATGTCTTCGCACGCATGTAATATCAGAGAAAGTGTTTTTCTCCTGCCCACACAACTCCAACATTCCAGGTGGAGTATAAAATGGTCTGGGGTTGATGTTGCGGTATCTGTGCTGTAGCATTCAAGTGAGCTGGCGTTATAAAAGATGCCGTTGGAAGCCCGGTCCCACTACAAACAAAACACAATACATCCCCAGCACACACGCAGGCACACACACATAGGGAGATATTAGCCAGATGGCATATGACTAGTAGTTAGCGCTTGATAAGGCAGCTCCTGCGAATTCCTCAAAAACTGTATATCCTAATTGTATTAATTGTATATCTATGTACTGTAAAGCGCTTTAGAGTGGCTTATGTTAGCCAGATAGGGCGCTATATCAAATGTTGTATGCTATTATATATTATTATATTTCTTTAAAAAAGTTATGTTTCATAACAAGAGAACAACTACAAACTAGACGATAACTAATATTTAAAACAAAATCTTGTCAGGTAAGTAAATCAAATAATATCAATATGAATAACTCATGATGCGTATATATGTTACAACACATTGATTCTATATTTTTTATCATTTTTAGTATATTCTTTGAGCAATAGAGGTGATTCATTGCAGTGTACTAAAATATTAAGCTTTTCCAAATTATATACAATGATCGAACATGTACTAAGTTAACATTTTAAAAAACTGCAAACTTAATTTATCAAATTTAATGTAAAATTCTACATACTTACATATGACAAACACGTGTTTTCTGTAGATTTGGATTTCGGCGGCAGCTCAAGTGTTCTTTTCCTTGGGACCCGGATTCGGTGTTTTGCTTGCTTTATCTAGTTACAACAAACTCAACAACAACTGTTACAAGTAAGTGCTGTTAGTATTCAACAACAATTGTTACAAGTAAGTGCTGTTAGTATTCAACAACAACTGTTACAAGTACGTGCTGTTAGTATTCAACAACATCTGTTACAAGTAATTGCTGTTAGTATTCAACAACAAGTGTTACAAGTAAGTGCTGTTAGTATTCAACAACATCTGTTACAAGTAAGTGCTGTTTGTATTCAACAACATCTGTTACAAGTAATTGCTGTTAGTATTCAACAACAAGTGTCACAAGTAAGTGCTGTTAGTATTCAACAACTGTTACTAGAAAGTGCTGTTAGTATTCAACAACAACTGTTACAAGTACGTGCTGTTAGTATTCAACAACATATGTTTCAAGTAAGTGCTGTTAGTATCCAACAACAAGTGTTACAAGGAATTGCTGTTAGTATTCAACACAATTGTTACAAGTAAGTGCTGTTAGTATTCAACGACAACTGTTACAAGTAAGTGCTGTTAGTATTCAACGACAACTGTTACAAGTAAGTGCTGTTAGTATTCAACAACAACTGTTACAAGTAAGTGCTGTTAGTTTTCAACAACAAGTGTTACAAGTAAGTGCTGTTAGTATTCAACGACAACTGTTACAAGTAAGTGCTATTAGTATTCAACAACAACTGTTACAAGTAAGTGCTGTTAGTATTCAACAACATATGTTTCAAGTAAGTGCTGTTAGTATCCAACAACAAGTGTTACAAGGAATTGCTGTTAGTATTCAACACAATTGTTACAAGTAAGTGCTGTTAGTATTCAACAACAAGTGTTACAAGTAAGTGCTGTTAGTGTTCAACAACATCTGTTACAAGTAAGTGCTGTTTGTATTCAACAACAGCTGTTACAAGGAATTGCTGTTAGTATTCAACAACAAGTGTTACAAGTAAGTGCTGTCAGTATTCAACAACAACGGTTACAAGTAAGTGCTGTTAGTATTCAACGACAACTGTTACAAGTAAGTGCTGTTAGTATTCAACGACAACTGTTACAAGTAAGTGCTGTTAGTATGCAACAACAAGTGTTACAAGTAAGTGCTGTTAGTGTTCAACAACAACTGTTACAAGTAAGTGCTGTTAGTTCAACAACAAGTGTTACAAGTAAGTGCTGTTAGTATTCAACGACAACTGTTACAAGTAAGTGCTGTTAGTATTCAACAACAACTGTTACAAGTAAGTGCCGTTAGTATTCAACAACAAGTGCTACAAGTAAGTGCTGTTAGTATTCAACAACAAGTGTTACAAGTAAGTGCTGTAAGTATTCAAAAACATCTGTAACAAGTAAGTGCTGTTAGTATTCAACAACAACTGTTACAAGTAAGTGCCGTTAGTAGTCAACAACAAGTGCTACAAGTAAGTGCTGTTAGTATTCAACAACGAGTGTTACAAGTAAGTGCTGTTAGTATTCAACAACATCTGTTACAAGTAAGTGCTGTTAGTATTCAACAACAACTGTTACAAGTAAGTGCTGTTAGTATTCAACAACAGCTGTTACAAGTAAGTGCTGTTAGTATTCAACAACAACTTTTGTAAATAATTGCTATGACAATCGTCTAACTGTGTCTGTCGTTGGTTAATGCTTTGTTTCATATCGTAAACATATTTGAGAGCATTCGAAATGTTTGAAGTCTGAAAACAAGAAATGACCTTATAACGATAAAAGTTTTCATGTATCTGGTTTAAGTGCGAAATACCTTTGAACCTCTGCCTTTGCCTAAAGGAGATTAATTAAATTGTTCATAAATGCAAGAAAACGATTACATGCATAAATAGATTTAGCTGTAGGATTTAGCAGTAGGAAAACCTTGTGATGAACGTGTAACGGGAGGTAAATCGTAAGATTCGATAGCTTTGCAATTTCCACAGCATTGGTGCTTACTGGATATGTTTGTTAGTGGTAGAGATCTGAAAAGCTGTTGTGATAGATTTCATGCATGAGATCAACGGCAGATGTAAACATACAAAGAATGATCCCGTCAGCACTGTATGAGTGAAACGTCACAATGAATCCTAAAACTGCCATTTCTAATTAGGCTACGGTACTAAGATCTAATTAGGCTACGGTACTAAGATTTAATGAAAACTGTATTAGATCAAATACTATATGAGAATGTCAAATCATTTTAAAATGTTTTTGAATTTAGGTAAGAATTGTTTTAAAGAAAACATTCCAGCTACATGAATAATGCTTGCTCATTAACTGCCTTGATAAATAACAAAAGCAATGGGTATAGTATCAAAGTTATAGTTATGATATACGCTGAACGAGACACTGAAAGTTAAACTATCGCCCAGTGTTTTAATTTATATCGTAATATCTTAACCTTTTTAACTTAACTTATCATCTGTAGAGATGCCTTGATCACGAGTGGAATCAACTGCGCGACGAGTTTCCTGGCGGGGTTCGCCGTGTTTTCTGTACTGGGCCATATGTCCTTCGTACAGGACAGACCTGTGGAAGATGTCGCCCGAGATGGTTAGTAGGATTTTCATGAGATTATTGGGATATTTGCAGTGTCTTCGTGTGCTATGATGCTCGATGTGTTTTTACATTTTCGTATTATGCTTGTTTCTGTGCATAGTTAACTCCTTAGTGTTAATTTCTCATTGTTGCTCCCTACATTGTTCTGTTCTCTAGGTTTGTATCTGAATATTCAATTACTCAGTATTCATATTCTAACAAACAGTCATTTTTTCTGGTTGATAATTCTACTGTTTCATGTTCTTACTTTCAGATGTCGGGCTGATCTTCATAGTGTACCCCGAGGCTATATCCTCCCTCAATTTCTCTACCTTCTGGGCGTTACTCTTCTTTTTCATGCTCATCACCCTCGGACTCGACACGACGGTAAACTTATTATGATATGACAGAAATCGCTATTGTACGATAAAACGTACGCCCAATAGTCATACCGGTATTGCTGTCGTTTGACGTCAGATCAGGTCAAAATCATCATGAAAAGTCATACAATTTCAATGTAATAAATAACCGAAATAAAATGTAAGTTTGATCAGTCGAAAAATATCTTTAGGTATACCATAGTCAGCAACTGATATTGATCTCGGAAATAAACAATTATTTAACAACCTTTCTGTAACATTTTTCATGTTAAATTTTTTGGATTCTCAAGTAAATCCATCACGCACTATAATTTCGGATCTTTTCAAATACGTTAATTTCTAAAATGTTGCATAAACAATATACTTAACTTTTTGTTATTGTGCTCGATGTCTTTGACGTCTTTTTCCAAGTTTTCTGGCCAGACGTAAAAAAGTCGATCATTACGTGGATATAGTGGATAGGAATATTCTAGCCTCAGTTTTATAATCCCGATAAGATCTTTGGCAAAACGTCGTGCTGAAAAAAACCCTCTTCATATGGTGTTAGAATTCCCTTACTGCCATACCCATATATGGTAATCGAATTAAATCACTCAATCGGTAACTTCATATAGGTAGAGTACCATTTACTGTAGTGTTGTTGTTATAACATCACTCTTTCTAACTAAAGTATTACAGCTTGAAAAGCAATGTCTCGTAAAGGCATTAAAACGCAAAACGAACAGAAAACTTGAAAGGGCTCTCCGATTCATGTTTTGTATTATTGTTGTTTTTTAATTTTTAACAGTTTGGTGGTCTGGAATCACTGTGTACAGGGATACTAGACGAATATGTTGTTCTCAGGAAGAACCGGAAGTTGTTCGTCCTTGCTCTAATGGCGTATTGCTTCATAGGGGCATTGGCTACAACAACATATGTAAGTTGATATTCATCAAGACCTACCCCAGTATAATGGTAAATCATACAACTAGCATTTAGGGGATTTTCTGCTTTCAGCATACCTATTTCTATCGTGAATGGGCTTGTGTGTGCATTTCGCTTCGGCTAAAGGTAGACAAATCAAGCATTTTTTCTTGACCCTTGTTTCTTTAGGACTCCAGTTTTCATAGAAATCCCAACATATGCATTTATTTATAAATACATACTCTTTTAATTGCAACATATTAAAAGGTACACCTCTTTACATAACACGAATATCAAAAGGTACACCCCTTTACATAACACGAATATCAAAAGGTACACCTCTTTACATAACACGAATATCAAAAGGTACACACCTTTACATAACACGAATATCAAAAGGTACACCCCTTTACATAACACGAATATCAAAAGGTACACCCCTTTACACAACACGAATTTCAACTCTATATTATCATCATTACTTCATCTATACAGTGCTTAAATTTTCCAATTTTTGCTGTTGGTCACGCTCAATGTTATTGTATGAAACATGATACCGCAGATTTATAGCATCGATCATACAGATAAGCACATATGTGTCACAATAGTCTATCTCTGCTGAATAATTTGGTATATGTGCTTTAATTTGACTACTGCGCTGCTGGAACAAGCACGGTTGTGTCCCCAATTTAGACCTACGTGATAACTTTATCTATTTCTCTACAGGGTGGTATATACGTTGTGCAGTTACTGGATTCTTTCGGAGCTCCAATAGCCATCATCTTTGTGGTTTTCCTCGAGGCTGTAGCCGTATCGTGGATATATGGTACGTCATACTGTCGATTACTTAAGCTCATAAATACTTATTTACAGGACAGTAAGGCTTGTTTATGAACATTTGCAAGAGGAACAAAATTAGTAAATCGCTTTTTATTGTATGTGCCTCTCAACAAAGATTGGGGGTTTGTTGTATTGCATGATCGAGCAAGTCAAAGAGACAATACGTCTGTGTCAGAATGAGTAACTGGACGATGTGGAATTAGTAACCAAAGATACATATACAGTAAACAGGGACTGTACGAATACAGATACACGCAATAACCATTAACCTTGAACTTGTCAATTGGTAAAGTAATGAAATCACAACATACAATAGCAAAAAAAAAATCCGATTTTATGTATAATTATACTACATGTATGTTAAACGTCCGTTCGTCATGAGCTGTTTGCATCTTTTTTAGGCGTAAACAGGTTCTGTGACGATATAGAGTCAATGCTGGGGTTCCGACCGGGTATCTACTGGAGGGTGTGCTGGAGCATCATCAGCCCATTCTTCCTACTGGTGAGTAATAACTATTAGAAAAATATCAACACATTGTTTCTACCAGTAAGTTCTCGTAATATCTATCGGAGGAATATCAACATTTCATTGGATCATCATCGGATACACGTGTAGGTCCATATCTATCTGTATACATTAATGCGTAATCGCAGGATACAGTTATAAAGTTTTCGAGTATCGGATTAGTATAGTATATGGAGAATGGATCGAATAAATTAATGTGTGTTACAATAAAGTCATTATATAGAAAATTGAGACAGACATAGCTTTCATATAGAAATAGTAAACTCTTATTTTAGCTTAAACAGTTTAAATGTTTCTTCAACAGACTGTGAAAAAACATCTTCTTTAACATATCTTCAGTTAGTTTTATAAGTGTTTCTCATCAATTTGTTCGGATTTCAAACTGCTAAGCCAAATGACAGGTGACAGATAAGGTGTAAGAAATATGATGAATCAACTCTGCATCTCTATTATCTTTAGATCCTATTCATCCTCTCGCTGATCGACCCGATGCCTCCCCAGTACGGCTCCTATGACTTCCCACAGTGGTCATTCATTCTGGGATGGATCATCGTGTGCTCGTCTCTCATCTGTATTCCCGGTTATATGATTTACAAGTTCTTCCGCACACCAGGTTCCATCCGCCAGGTATGAATAGATAAACATGTGAAATAAGAAAATAGTGCCACCTTTTACCTATATTTATGTGACGTTTGACAAATGGGATGGTATTAGAAAATTATTAATAAATTATTAATATAAGATGTAACAATGACTGCACATCGGTTTCTTAACATATAACAATGAGTACACAGTGCAATATAAAATGTAAAAAAGACTCTTATTTCTACGTTAGTATGAAATATTTGTTTAACAACGTTTTATAACTACTATTATGCCTTAGTAACTGTAAATCACTATACAAATATAAATATGTAACATTGTTTGAACATCAGTATGTAATTATATGATTTTAATATAACATAACCATATGAATATGTAATGATAAATATATATCGACGAACATTTCTAATAATAATCACTACTACATATTTCTGTATGAATATGAAACAAAGAAATAAAACAAAGAAAGGTATATAGATATGTAACACTGCTTTGTTACAGAGAATTCTCGTCATGTTTACACCCACCGACGTACCAAGTCACGCCAGGAAACCTGCACTGCCAGCCTATGTCTAACGTTTCAGACAAACCGGAAGTAGAGTTGAAGATGAATCATTGATGACATGCGCAGAAATCGGTGCCTATAATATAAATATTGATGTTGTGTAATATTCAACATGTACACTTTAGAAGTATATGTCACATGTAAAGATCTCTACAGAATCGATGAAAATGTTCAAACATCAAATCTAGATAAAACATAATGAAATATGACTAACATTGTATAAGGAACATCCAGTAGTTGGTTGTCTTGACAACAGACATGTAAATAGATAATCTTCTTGATGAGGAGTTATTAAATTAGATTAACATTAACCCTTGTCGATATTAGGCAGTATGTTTAACATAAAACTGATGAGGAAGAAATAAATTGTACCCACACCACATTACAGCAGCCTGCTACCATACTTCAGGTTCATATTTGATGTTCCTGTATTTACATATTTGTTGATTGTTATTGAGGAAAACATAGCCATTGGTGGATATATATATGTATGCCATTCATCCCCATTGCATATAATTTTTGCTTTAATTCCAAATTACGTATTCTTTGCCGATTTCATATTGTCATTTACAATGACCATACATTATGTCAGTGATTTTCATGCATTGTGTGGTCCTGCTGTGTTCTTTATAAACTATGTTATTACCTTAAATCATGTTTGATGATACAGGGACTGAATTGATATCGTCACTAATTTACTTGCATTGTGTGTTCATGCTGTGCTCATTGATGACGTCAGTTATTACTTTACATTATTGGTTCTTGATGTATTCAATGATGATTTGATGACGTCAATTATTACTTTACATTATAATTTCTTTGTTTTTTCGATAATGATTTGATGACGCCAGTCATTACGTTATATTATTTGTTCTTGATGTATTCTTTGATCACTTATTGACGTCTGTTACGACCTTAACACACTACAATGTGCTTTCCCTTCTTTATCCTCAAAATGCACAACTACAAAGTAAACACTTCAAAAGCTTAAGCATGCACTTCATTGCATTGTAGAATAACGTACTAATATGCAAAGACGTGCTTTGACATTTGTAACTCGTTATATAATCACAGATGTACTATTGACTTTTACATACATTTTTTACATTACTTAATACTCTAGAGTATAATAAAGGTAAATACATATACGCCATTTCAACATATAATGCTGTGTACATATATATTTATTTTAATGTAAGATTGTATGCCTGTATATTTTTTCCTGAACATAATGTATAGCAAGTAATTGTCTATTACCATAAATATTAGATTGACAACCACACTATCGATCATACCTAAAAGGCAAAGAGCACTAGGACGAAAACGCAAAATAAAATTTAATTATTTAACCGTCACAATGTCAGTAGCAAATTTACAGAGCTTTATAAAAAATGTCAGGTTTTGAAGACAATATCATTGTTGCTCCTAGTGTAAATAACGAAGTGTTCGTGACAAAAGGTTAGGTTTTGAATGGTCAAGCTTTCACGCCTAGGAATCATGACTGCGTTAGCAATACTGCTGCAAAACAGTATGCGCATGTAGACCTTTGCGCTAATTAGCTCACGAAATATCACCGGAAAGTTACACATAACGAATATTTCTACTGTTCCAGTATTCATGATAGGTCTACCAGTTCAATTCCAATATTTCCCATTGATTTTCATAAACTTTAGATCCATTCAATATTAAATCAACATTGGAAATCTAGATGACATTACAGCATACCATTTTACATTATAGTTAAGAGGAACAAATTGTAGTATTGTCATTATGCAATTTCTATTTACTAGATGTTTATATTATATATATACTTGTAGCATGTTCATTTTCTTAAACGTAATCTTGAAAACATATGTAGCTTGCAAACAACATTCGAGATTATTATAATTACGAATAACATAATCACGTATTTTCTTGTCCATTGACATTGTAAATCACAAAGCAAGTGTATATTAACTATGTACATATGTTCTAGCCCACCACTATCACACGGGGGGCTGTTCATATCGCCTTTCATCCATTGTCCGTCGTCTGTCCTCAAACTGGTTCTTGTTATAGTGATTTCGCAAGTTCCTTTATGGTTATTTTTCAAATTTCATATGTAGTTTTCCCGTGGTCTTCAGATGCTCGTGTTCAGTTTTGTTACAGTTTGTTATCGCTATTTCACAGAAAGATAAGGAGGATGTTTTTCTTTAATGTGAAGGTAGCTTCATTTTATCTCTCTTATTCTATCTATTTATTTTTTACTATTTTGTCAGAGTCAAAAGATAACCTAACTTTTAAAATGAAAAAATAAATAAACAAATCACCGTATGCTGCATTTACTGTTGTCACGAATATAAAACCTACAGATCTGATAAAAGAAAACAAAATCCCCAGAAACGATCACGAAATGGATGAGATGGTGAGTGACAAGACCACCCTGAGATATTTTGTTGAGTTACGATAGGTGTGACAATGCTACATCAATGATTCATAAGACACATTGTGTAGATGAGTGAGTCTCTCTATCACGTCACCTGTTTTGTACATATGCCTTCTGTGTAAAGTGTACATACTGTGTCTGTTAGCCGCTACAATACTGTTATGATGGACTTTTTATATAGGTTAATTACAGATTAATTTTCTATAGTTGCATATACGCACGCTCAAGTCATTAACAAACACATGCTAATGAAAATTAAGAATTGAATCTTGTCTCTGTCTGTTTTATAAGGTAATGAATTTAGTCAGTCTTGAGATACAGTTAAGGCTTATAATAAATATGTCTCAAGATCGAACGCATGTTATCATAGCAGTAAATTACTCTGAATGCTGAATACTTGTCCTCACATTATGAAATTTGACACAAATCCATACTCACGGACTAAGTTAATAGGGTTTGAAATTTCACAGTTAAATAACTCTGAAACCGGGCTTTAAATTTAATTCAAAGGGAAATAAACCGGTAAAAATCATATCGAGGCTTTAAACCAAGAAAAAAAAAAATACATTCTTGTCACAATTATTTATTTTAGGCATGAATGTGTCCATGCGCTTAATAAGTGTAGTGTATGAAACCTATTTATACCAAGCTGACATAAGGTGAGGATCTGCGACAACCTCCGGGACCACGACCCATTGTTTTTATCAAAGTCGGATTTCATACAGTGTATACTTTTGTTGAAATTATTTCATTCATAATTGTATAAGTAATATATAGAATTTCTGATAGATATGAGAGATGATTTCATGAGAAGAAAACGTATTTGTGTCATATAACAAAACGGTTTTGCTCATACCTTCGTCAAAAGAATCAAAATGTATTGTACAAGGGCGCACGTCCCATGCTGTTAGAACTTGTAAAAATGAAGACAAATCTCCAAAGCTGCATTGGTATACGAGATACCACGAGGCTTCGTTAGAAATACCGGTAATTATGTTGTAATGTGTTGAAGGTGTAACGAGTACAATTTAGATATACTTGACCGTTACACCACGTGATAATCATGTGATAGATTTGTGATCGTTAGTTACTATTGTTAAGAGTTTAATCATCGTTTGTAATACTGAGTATAAATATACATCATCAGAATAAAATAATAAATGTATGTTTTTCTATTTCGTTTAGATTTCTTTATCAGTTTTCAGTCAATCTTATCCTTACTTGGTAGAAATATTTAACTGATATTGATTACCCTATGGAAGAAAGTAAAAAGAGTGATGTCGAGCGATCGTAATGATTAATGTAGAAACTAATTGTGTGCATGTTCTAAATGTACCAACGTAAACAAATATACTTCAACTATCGTAGGGTACATCGTTCACCAGACACTATAATATACGTTAACACCATACACTTCAGACATGTACAATTTAATTAGATGGATTTTCAATTCATTTAACAAGATATATATATTGTATATAAATATGTAACAATTATACAACTGTTGTTGCCGTAGTTTCAATACACTTGTTTTCGTGACACTACATGGTGACCCTATGCTGTATTGAACTGGTGGTAGCTTTGTTATTAACATCATACGATGATAGCTAGGCGGCAGCTTGTTTGATACACTTAGGCCTGTCATCATGCAATCTACAAACAAATTTATTGTAACTCGCCAGGCTCCCCCTTTAAATGACAACAATCATAAATAAGTCTATCACGTTACCCGTACAGCTTATTAACATGACTTACCTGTACGACGAGATATGTACAATATTCTGATATGTCATCATCCACCCAGGCCTCTGGCATGTTGACCCTACCATGGTGGAGAAGCACACCTGTGTGATGTTCTATCCAGGAGAGCGTACACAGCCGTCTGTTACCAACTGTACTTTAACTACTTGGTGAATAAAATCATTGTCCCTTTATCCAGTGTTTTATTACCGTACCCGACCTACTAACACTTAATAATCACAATTGTCGCAGTATATTTAATAAATACTATCGGAACAAATCTACCAGTATTACGAAGCACTTAGCAGGTGATTTACACGCTATGACACTTAAATCCCGACACAAATGTTGTTAATAATGAATTACTTTGTGCACCCATCACACAATTGCTGCATAAACCCCCCTGGTCTGTGGTTTATGTGTTTGACACGCGAATCTCCTGGAGTCTGTGACTTCCACACATACCAGTACTATTATGTTGCCTAGTTATCAAAGGAATGTCGGGATATCAAGTAACAGTTAGGAGCCTGTAGTCTAAATTAGGTATAAAATATAACCACGTGAAGTAAGAGGCACACAACTACAGATGGAGTTAAGACGCAGGTAAGTTGGTTTAAGCTGCATGTATTACCTATAACAGCACTAAATATTGCAGGTAAGACAAGTTTAGTTATGATAAGTAGTCATAATCAAATCACAGATACTCCGTAATCTAATATTATCAACAGTCTTCTTTTCTGATATCCATTTAATCTACGGTCACGTGGCATGGTATTCTTTTGAATATGATGCATTCTTGATATTGTGAAGAAATGTTTAATTATTTTATTAGTTTTACCATTATACTGAAAGTATAAAATACTGTTTGCCTAAGTTATGCTATTATTTTAAAACTGATAGTCTCAGATTCCATATACATGTACTATCCTTTCCGACGGAAGGCATTAACATGGAGCATTAACAAACATTAACACATACTTTTAAATGCTTAACATATTAATGTAAAATTATAATATGCGAGTCACACATTACAATAATAAAGAACAGTTTTCGAATTTAATTTGATTTTGCCGATATTCATTAAAACTTTCTTCCTTTAAGCTCATTGTTATTTTTATAATTAAAACTAATTGTTGGTGATTTGCTCTGTAATAATAACAAATTGTTGGTGATTTGCCTTGTAATAATAACAAATTGTTGGTGATTTGCTCTGTAATAATAACAAATTTCAGAACGAATTTCATCGTACTGTTTGTCCAGGATGTGACTTAGTGACTAAGGTCGACACCGAGACTGTGTGATGCGGGGTCGTTATAATGCCGATAGACAGCGATGAAGGGTAGGGCAATAATTATTTCCGCATGATATCATAGTAATGCCTTATTGTGGGGACTGCTTAATTTCAAAATCGTAGATATGGTCGCTTTAAAATACAATATTTGACCTACATGATTGATATATAATGAAGAAATTTAGCTATATGATTCAATGCAAGCTTCAACTAAGCCAATGTTTTCCATTCCTGAACGACAAAAACAAACATGTTCTAGTACGACGATGAAAAAAAACAACACCATTTTGTTAAATAAATACATGTATATGGCGGACGCCCTAATGTCAGAGTCGATTGACTATTTCAGAGCCCTTGTTTCAGGAGTGTCTATTCTTACTTCAGAGTCCTTGTTTTAGGATTGTCTATACTTACTTCAGAGCCCTTGTTTTAGGAGTGTCTATTCTTACTTCAGAGTCCTTGTTTTCGGATTGTCTATTCTTACTTCAGAGCCCTTGTTTTAGGATTGTCTATTCTTACTTCAGAGCCCTTGTTTTAGGATTGTCTATTCTTACTTCAGAGCCCCTGTTTCAGGAGTGTCTATTCTTACTTCAGAGTCCTTGTTTTAGGAGTGTCTATACTTACTTCAGAGCCCTTGTTTTAGGAGTGTCTATTCTTACTTCAGAGCCCTTGTTTTAGGAGTGTCTATACTTACTTCAGAGTCCTTGTTTTAGGAGTGTCTATTCTTACTTCAGAGCCCTTGTTTTAGGAGTGTCTATTCTTATTTGAGGGCTATTGTTATAGGAGTGTCTATTCTTACTTCAGAACCCTTGTTTTAGGAGTGTCTATACTTACTTCAGAACCCTTGTTTTAGGAGTGTCTATACTTACTTCAGAACCCTTGTTTTAGGAGTGTCTATACTTACTTCAGAGCCCTTGTTTTAGGAGTGTCTATTCTTACTTCAGAGTCCTTGTTATAGGAGTGTCTATTCCTACTTCAGAGCCCTTGTTTTAGGAGTTTCTATACTTACTTCAGAACCCTTGTTTTAGGAGTGTCTATTCTTACTTCAGAGCCCTTGTTTTAGGATTGTCTATTCTTACTTCAGAACCCTTGTTTTAGGAGTGTCTATACTTACTTCAGAACCCTTGTTTTAGGAGTGTCTATTCTTACTTCAGAGCCCTTGTTTTAGGAGTGTTTATACTTACTTCAGAACCCTTGTTTTAGGAGTGTCTATACTTACTTCAAAGATTCTTACTTCAGAACCGTTGTTTTAGGAGTGTCTGTTCTTACTTCAGAGTCCTCGTTTTAGGATTGTCTATTCTTACTTCAGAACCCTTGTTTTAGGAGTGTCTATTCTTACCTCAGAGTCCTTGTTTTAGGATTGTCTATTCTTACTTCAGAACCATTGTTTTAGGAGTGTCTATTCTTACTTCAGAACCCTTGTTTTAGGAGTGTCTATTCTTACTTCAGAGTCCTTGTTTTAGGATTGTCTATTCTTACTTCAGAACCCTTGTTTTTAGGAGTGTCTATTCTTACTTCAGATATCTTGTTTTAGGAGTGTCTATTCTTACTTCAGAGCCCTTGTTTTAGGAGTGTCTATACTTACTTCAGAACCCTTGTTTTAGGAGTGTCTATTCTTACTTCAGAGTCCTTGTTTTAGGAGTGTCTATGCTTACTTCAAAGCCCTTGTTTTAGGAATGTCTATACTTACTTCAAAGCTTTTGTTTTAGGAGTGTCTATACTTACTTCAAAGCACTTGTTTTAGGAGTGTCTATTCTTACTTCAGAGCCCATGTTTTCGGAGTGTCTATACTTACTTCAAAGCCCTTGTTTTAGGAGTGTCTATACTTACTTCAGAGCCCTTGTTTTAGGAGTGTCTAT